CCCAGGAGTTTGAGGTTGCTGTGAGCTAGGCTGATGCCACGGCACTCTAGCCAGAGCTACAGAGTGAGACTCTGTCTCAAAAAAAAAACCAAAAAAACAAAAAAACAAAAAAAAAAACCAAAAAAACCCCTGCCAGTTGTAATAATTTCCTGGGATTGCTATAAAAAAGTATCAGATAGGGTGCCTTAAAACAACAGTAATTCATTTTCTCACAGCTCTGGAGGCCAGAAGTCAGAAATCCAGGTGTGGCAGCAGGGTTAGTTCCTTCTGAGGGCTTTGCCAGAGAAGCTTTCCCAAGCTTGACTCTGAGCTTCTGGTATCTGCTGGCAATCCCTGGCATCCCATGGCATGGAGATGTATCACTCCAATCCCTGACTCCAGGGTCACAAAGCTGCCTTCTCCCTGGGTGTCTCTATCTTCAGATGGCTGTTTTCTCAGAAGGACACCAGTCATATTGTATTAAAGACCCACACTATTGCAGTATGACGTAACCTTAACAAGTTTTACCTACAACAACTGTATTTCCAGACAAAGACCATATTTCCAGATAAGGTCACATTCACAGGAACTAGAGGTTATGACTTTCACATCTTTTTTTTTCTTCTTTCCTTCTCTTTTGATATATATATATATATATTTTTTTGAGACAATGTCTTGCTCTGTCACCCAGGTTGCATGCAGTTCGGTGATTATCATCATAGCTCACCATATCATTGAACTCCTGGATTCAAGTGATGCTTCCATCTCAGCTTCCCAAAGTGCTAGGATTACAGGTGTGAGCCACTGCACCTAGGCAGGACTTCATATCTCTTTGAGGATACAAAATTTGATACACAATACCAATATTAATAGTTCCAAAAAACACAGTTGGTAAAATACTACATCCATTCACAATTAAAAAGTCTAGAAGGCCGGGCGCGGTGGCTCACGCCTGTAATCCTAGCTCTCTGGGAGGCCGAGGCGGGCGGATTGCTCGACGTCAGGAGTTCGAAACCAGCCTGAGCAAGAGCGAGACCCCGTCTCTACTATAAATAGAAAGAAATTAATTGGCCAAATAATATATATAGAAAAAATTAGCCGAGCATGGTGGCACATGCCTGTAGTCCCAGCCACTTGGGAGGCTGAGGCAGAAGGATTGCTTGAGCCCAGGAGTTTGAGGTTGCTGTGAGCTAGACTGACGCCACGGCACTCATTCTAGCCTAGGCAACAAAGCGAGACTCTGTCTCAAAAAAAAAAAAAAAAAAAAAGTCTAGAAATAGAAGAAAACATCCCAAGCCTGACAAAGGGTGTCACCATATCATGGAGACAGCAGGACGCAGGCTGTAGTATTGGGATGGGGTGCTGGCCCTCCCTGGTTTCACTCAGCCTCATTCTCAAAGACCTGCTAGCATTATAGGAGATCCTGAAGTTGGATAATGACTCTTTAGGTTTAAGCAAAGGTCAGCAAAGGTGTAAAAAACGAGACTGATACATAAAAGTTGATTTTTATGTGCCAGTAACAATCAGAAAGTATGACTTTGAAAAAGATATAACTTATAAAAGCTAGAGCTATAAAATTGATAAAATACTTGGAAATACTCTTTAAAAACTATGCAAGGCCTTTGTGGAGAAAAATATAAAACTTTATTGGAAAATATACCATCTTCATACATGAGGAAGACTTTACATAGTTGTATGTCACTTACTGACAGAGACATGTTCTAAAAAATGTGTTCTTAGGTGATTTTGTCATTTTTCAAACATCATGGGGTGTACTTCACAAACCTAGAAGGTATAACCACTACACGTGGAGCTCCTAGGCTACAAACCTGTACAGCATGTTACTGTACTGAATACTGTGGGCAACTGTAACACAATGGTAAGTGTTTGTGTATCCAATCATATCTAAACATAGAAAAGGTACAGTAAAACTATAATATAAAAGACAAAAATGGTACACCTGTTTAGTGTACTTATGAATGGAGCTTGCAAGCCTGAAAGTTGCTCAGGTGAGTCAGTGAGTGAGTGGTGAATGAATGGGAAGGAAGGCCTAGGACATTCCTGTACACTACTGTATACTTTATAAATACTGTATATCATATACATGATTATATGATAAAAATGTCTATCTTCCCAAAATAATCAACAATTCAACACAATTCTAGCCAAAAATCCCAACAGGGCTTCTCATAGAAATCCTGATCCCAATAATCCCACGTCACCATAGAACTCCTAAGACACTTTTGAAAAGAGAAAGATACTCCAGCCCCCAGAGAGGGACCCTGGGCTCAGGGCTGTGGAAAATAGGGCAAAGCTGAGACCAGACCCAGAGTCTCTGTGGGGAAGGACAGTACTGTTGGTGTGGGAGACAGATACATTTGGAAAATAAAATCATAAAAAGAAATCAATTTTATCACCTAATTACAAAGATGAGTCAAGCCAATAAAGAATTTAAAACCACTACAATTCAATAAAAATGAGAAGCTATGTGCAGCCCAGAGCTGTGAGAGCTATTCCAAAAGAAGCAGCAGATTTTATGTGCTGTGGTACAGCATGGGGTCTTATGAGGAAGTTGTTTTTTTTGTGTTTTTTTTTGAGACAGGGTCTCGCTCTGTTGCTCAGGCTGGAGTACAGTGGTGTGATCATAGTTCATTGCAGGGATGGATTCCTGGCCTTAAGTGACCCTCCCACCTTGGCCTCCCAAAGCCCTGGGACCACAAGCAGATGCCACCATGTCTGGCCCAGAGAGCTATTTTTAAAATGTTAACTCCAAGCCTGATCATTCATTTCTTTAAGATGATTCACAATTCTCAAAATCTGGCCTTGACTTGCACATGATGAGCCCCTGCCACCTAGAGGCTCCATCTGGATTTAACTCATACATTTGTAGCAGACCAATATATTTGTTTTTCAATTACTTCATTTAAACCATAAACTAGCTGCTGCAGTAACATTTCCACAGAGCTCCACCTATATATGTCAAACGTCCCTTAGTCCTTAACCTCTACAAAAGCCTAAATTCTATGTCTTTTCAGTATCATCTCCTTTGGGAACTTCCACTACAGGGCCAAAGACTCCTGGTCTGTCCTGGGGTGGGTGTTTGACGGTGGGCATGAGATTGTTCATGGATTTCATGAAAGTACAGGGAGGTTCTATTTTTCAATAGCACACAGCTATGGCTGTTTTAATTAAAATACACACTCCAGGATGGTTTAATATAAGACCAATTAATATAACACATCACATTATAGACTGAAGAGAGAAAAAACACATGATCATCTCAACTGTGCAGAAAAGGCATTTGACAAACTCCAGCACACTTTCATGATAAAAAAAAAAAACACTCAGAAAACAAGAAATATAAGGGAACTTTTTCAGCTTGTAAAGGATATTTATGGAAAACCCATAGCTAACATATTGCTGAATAGAAAAAGACTGAACTTTTCTCCCTAGGACTAGAAACAGGACAAGGACCCCACTTGCACCATTGCCATTCAGCATTGTCCTGGAGGTTCCAGCCAAAGCAATCAGCTAAGGAAAAGAAAGAAAAGGCACCCAAATTGGAAAGAAAGATGTAAGATGATCTCTTATAGCCATGGCCCTACACATAGAAAATCCTAGAGAATATATGAGAAGGCTGGGCATGTGGTTTCATGAAATCCACGAACAATCTCATGACCCACGGTCAAACACTCACCCTCGCTATCCCTTAGGACACAGGGGCCTCTCCTGGGGAGAGTTGTTGCCCCTGGATGGCTCCATGTGCCTCCAGGCCTAGCTCAACGTTGTGTCCTTAGATTTTCCCTGGCTTCATTCGGGAACTTCCCATCTAGGGGCTTGTCTGATTTTCATTAGCCATTGCCCACCCCAACATGGTGTCCTCACACTACTGGTGCCACAGATGCTACAGCATGAAGATCAAGGTTTGTCTTTGTGGACATCAGGAAGACACCCAATGTGCCAGGCCACAGCAAGGTGTGGGTCACAGTCTTGTGTTTCACAGGGACAAATAAGGATTAGGGTGCCATTCTCTGAACACACAGCAAAGATATCCGTGTGACTGAGCAGACACAGTGGGTGTTCCGAGAATGATGCCTGTCTGCCTCCCCTGCCTGTCACGGACAAGTTTCTCATTCTAAGCCTCAGTGTCTTCGTTTGTGGCCTGAGAACAGCAGCACCTTCCTTCTGGGGATCCTAGGAAGATCACTCCAGCTCAAGCACAGGCACCACAGTGGGGTTGTCATCCCCTGCACAGACCAGGCTCTGTGTCCATGGTGGGCTTTTGCCAAGGGAAGGCACCCTGTTTGTCCCATGAACAATTAGGGTGGCACCTCTAGAGTGTCTGAGGCCACATCTGCATTTCCCACAAGCTGGGAGAACCAAACAAGTACCCAAAACACAACTCCACAGATACTGGCCAGAAAAACCTCCACTCAAGGTGTTGCTCATCTTGGAAAAGGATAGTGGATCAAGGCTCCAACAGTCCTGGACTTCTCCTTGGCTTCTCCTCTCCCTCTTCATCACTGGCTCTGCTCATCTAATTAGCTCCTGAGCCCTGGAAACCTAGGTGACTGACATTCTCATCACCATTAGAAGGTCCTGGCAGAGAGAGACCACCCTGCGCCACCCTGGCTCCAAGTCCTGGAGGGCCTGGTGTGGCCCCCACCACCTGCCAGGGGGAGCCCAGCAGTGAGCACAGATCTTGGCAAGAGACAGGAGGATGGTGGAGAGATGGGAAAACTCTTTATTACTGAACAACCAATCTCTTTCGCCAAACCAGAGCCAAGGAAATGCTTGCTGGGGACAGTGGTGGCAGGTGACACAGCCAACTGCGGAGATGACATGCAGGCTCCATAAGTAGAGTCCTGGTTTCACCCACCTTACCTGGCCCTGCCTACCTTACCTGGCCCACCTGCCCCACACTTGGCCCCCCACCTGCCCAGCCCCTCCCCCCACACCCCCTCACCTCTCCCCACACCTGCCCCACACCAGCCCTGCCCCACACCTGCCCTGCTCCTCACCTGCCACTCTCTTCCCTCGGGAAGGCCACTGGCCGCCCCGCCCTCCCGGGCAGCTCTTGTGCCTTCTCTCCGTCTGGCTCAGGCTCCAGGGACGAGCTGGTGCTGCCTTCACGGCTGACACTGCTGCCACGCCCTGGGCTGTTCTCAGCAGAAGCGCGTGGGGACTCAGTGTTCTGCTTCAGGGTCTGCAGCTTGGCTAGTGGGATAATGTCGCAGCCCTGCGGCCGGTGCCACACGGTGCGCTGCGTGCTGGCATTGTAGTAGTAGAAGCGCGACGTATTGGGGTCGAAGAGCTCCCACCACTGGTTCTCGCTGGTGCGCTTGATGCGGACGCCGGCTGGAGGGTCCCACACACACTCCCCAGTGACCAGGTTGGCGTACATGCGCTCCCGGGTGCGTGGCTCAATGATCTCCACCCACTCCAGCCTGCAAGAGGGACGGGACGAGGGCATTAGGATGCAGGAGGACCAGCTGCTCCCACCCCAGCCCCAGCCCGACTGACCCAGACCCTCCATCCCCGTGCCCAGTCCCCTAACCTCAGGCCTCCCCCTGTCCTCCACACCAGCGTCCCCCCATTCCCCACCCCACTCCCATCCCAGCTCCTCTGATGGCAGAAGGCGCCTTCCCTGTCGCCCCCCCCCTGTAGTCCACTGGAGCCGGCCATCTGCAGATCTTTGCTCAAATGTGCCAGCTTCGAAAGCAGGGAATCCTGTCACACAAAAATCAAACAGAACCAAACCTAAGTCCCATTCCTGACTATTACATGTTCATGAGCACCCATCCCCAGTGGGGAACCCCTGGAGAGGCCAGTGCTGAGGGTGAGCGTGGCAGCCCTCTGGGAGTCTCCAGGGAGTGGGCACACGCCCACATGGTTGCAGCTTTCTGTCCTCAGAGGGACCCAGGCGACACCCTGACTGCACACTGCCCCGTGCAGGCCCTGTCCTGCCTCCCCCCTCCCCTGTGCTTGCCTGTTGCCTGGATCCCTCAGATGACCACCATGTACCTGCTGAAATAGCCCTTCCACCAAAGCAGGAACACCACCACCTGCACGCTGTGTCAGGGCTCCAGAGGGGCCCCGGGCCCAGCTAGAAAGTGCTGCCGGGTTCCTGAGATGCTTTCTCCTAGGGCCCCCAGAGCAGGAGGGCCCAGAACCCAGACAGCCCTCAGACCCCTCCCTGGGTGCCACTGCCTCCAACCTTCTAATGTTTTTATTTTTTATTTTTTTTATTTTTATTTATTTATTTTTGAGACAGAGTCTTGCTCTGTTGCCCACGCTAGAGTGAGTGCCATGGCGTCAGCCTAGCTCACAGCAACCTCAAACTCCTGGGCTCAAGCAATCCTGTTGCCTCAGCCTCCCGAGTAGCTGGGACTACAGGCATGCGCCACCATGCCCAGCTAATTTTTTCTATATATATTAGTTAGCCAATTAATTTCTTTCTATTTATAGTAGAGACAGGGTCTCGCTCTTGCTCAGGCTAGTTTCGAACTCCTGACGTCGAGCAATCCGCCCACCTCGGCCTCCCAGAGTGCTAGGATTATAGGCGTGAGCCACCACCTGGCCTGATGTTTTTAAATTAAAAAGACAACTTGGAAAACAATGTAAATTAAAGCCATTAAGAACAAGACTATTTTAATGCTGATTTGTTTGATACCAGGGTGTGTGGTCCAGGTGACATCTGGCATTTTTGTAGGCAGCTTCCAAGTTTCTACAAAGACATAAAAATCCTTTAAAGGCTGGGAGTGCTCCTCAGTGTGCACACTCTCTGCTGACCAGATGGTCAATCCATTCACTGTCTTGTAATTCTGCAATATGCCTGGTTCTTACCATAACTTGGCTGGTTAGGGGTCTTGTTTCCAGGAAAAGGATACTAATTCCAGGGGCCCAGGAGAAAAAAGGAGGTGTGTGGGGAGGGCAGGGAGGCCAGTGGACACTGAGTAGCTAGGCAGACCTGGGTTTGAGGGCCTATAGTGGTTTCACCTGTAGCTCCACCAGGACAGTGAGAGAAAGAGATGCTGGTTGCTTCCCTAGCTCTTCCTGGGCAGGCAGGCACTGACTGGCCGAGGGGACAACCTTCATCACACACACCTTTAAAAACCTCAGTCCTACCCTTTGAAACCAGGGCAGCAGTGCCCTGAGAACAGTCTGTGATGTGCACCCACAGATGCTCTCATAAGGGGTATCAATGGCTACAGGTGCCCTACCCCACCCTGACCACTCCACGGGGAGGAGCAAAGGCCATGCCATGAGAAGCTAGCAGGCAGACCAGCTGTCATCACCCTGCTGGCTGTCCTTGCCTCTCATGCCTGCCCAGCCTGGCCCTTCCCCTGTGTAGGGGCAGCAACCCCAGCTGCAGCCCTGTAGGCTCTGGGTCCCTGTTTCTTGCTGATGCAGAAAACTGAAAAACAGGCTATGTGCCTGTTCTTCAGGCATTGTACCCTGTTCCCACATGCTGCCTGCTGAGGAAGGGGGAGTGATCGTGGGATGTGGGGCCATGGGACTGGAGTGCTCTGGGGAGGGGCTTACATGGGAGCTGGCTCAGATGTCTAACTGGGGGAGAGGACCAAGGGGCTGGGGGGCTCAGCCTGAATGAAGATACAGCAGCAGTGCATTCAGAAGTCAGGAGACAAGGAAGGATTGGGGGAGAAGGTGAAGGAGCACCCTGGGAATAGCCCAATGGAGGAGTCCTAAAGGCCAGAGGAGGAGGGTCATCATCTCCATGGAAAGTGTCTGATTGTGGGGAGCCCATTTCTTTGCTGATCTTAAACACATTTGCCAACAACTCCACAGCCCCCAAATAAATGCCTTGACTTGCTTGGCTCAGACCCACCTCCCTGCTGAGGGCCTTTTCAATGTGCTTGTTTCTCTGTGCTCTGGCCTACAGACCCACTCCACTGTCCAGCAAATCACATGGCATGGGGCCACCCCTGGCTCTTGTCCAGATGTCCTCACCCTTCTCAATCCAGCATCTCACCAGGCACCAGCAACAGCAGGCCAGCCCTGCAACCAACCTCCCAGCCTACAGTGCAGTCTACCCAGCAATGGGGCCTCGCTCATTCCTGACAGCCAAATCCAGGTAGCACCTTTCTGTCCCAAGGGAACTGTGCCACTCTGGATGCCACTAATCAACTGATCATACCCTCTTGCTTTTACTTTTAAAATGTTAAGTTTTTGTTTTGAAACAATTTCTTATTGACAAAAAATGTCAAAAAACAGCTTTTATTCAAGTTTCCCACAAGTCACAGAGGAAATGACTGTACCTAGCATATTAGAGTGGGTGGGGCTCTGCCCCATAGCCCAGGATGGTCACATAAATCATTTGGTCAAGAGGGTATCCACTGTAACAGCACTGTTCTCTCTGTGACTAATAAGTGTCTTGTGGGGACACTGTAAGGCCACATAAATACCCTATTTTTCAACATACTTTTACTACTTTTAACACACATTGATGATTCTTGCCTGAACAATCCTTACTGTATGTTGGTCAAATGCTAATTATCTATTTCTATCACTCCTTGTACGTTTACTAGTTAAAATTCTAGTATAAGTGCTGTATAATAAAGAATTTGTCATGTTAGCAGTGCTGTTGTGGGTGGTGGTGGGTTAGGGTGGTATCTTTTTAATTTGTATTTCCCAGCATTCCACAATGTTCACAAGATTACTTTTGTCACTGGAAAAAAATTAGAAGAAACATTATTATCTTTCTAAAAAATATATGCCTAAAACAAATATGCCTATTTCAACTATGACATGCAATAAAACTTTCAAAGTGTCAAACTTTAAAGCTTTTAAGATTTAGTGGGCAATGTTTCCATGAAGTATCTGCACACTCATATTGGCTTACATAGCACATCCCTCAAGTAAGTGATAAATTGTATTTCCCAGTGAGAAGTGTGTGATAAATGGTATATCTCTGCAGGGGTGTGTTTTCTTTCAAATGCAAACTTAACGACAGGTAAGGTTTATCACTATTGATAATTAAAGTTATATAGCTTTATTTTTGAAAGCCACGTATGTGTTTATATGTATATATTTGTGTAGAAAATCACTGACCTGTAAAACCAAATAAATATTAAAAAGGGGTTATCTAGAAGTAATGGAATTTGGTGCACTTTTAACCTTTTTCTCCCTTTTTATTTATTTTTTTCAAAATATATAATGGAAAACTTGAAACATACATGAAAATCCAGAGATTAGTATAATGAATTCCCACATATGTGGTTTTTAATTTTTCCTGATTATTATTTTTTTTTAATTTTTTTTGAGATAGAGTCTCACTTTGTTGCTCAGGCTAGAGTGAGTGCCGTGGCGTCAGCCTGGCTCACAGCAACCTCAATCTCCTGGGCTCAGCGATGCTACTGCCTCAGCCTCCCAAGTAGCTGGGACTATAGGCATGCGCCACCATGCCCGGCTAATTTTTCGTATATATATTTTTAGTTGGTCAATTAATTTCTTTCTACTTTTGGTAGAGATGGGGTCTTGCTCTGGCTGGTTTCAAACTCCTGACCTTGAGCAATCCTCCCGTCTCGGCCTCCCAAAGTGCTAGGATTACAGGCGTGAGCCACCGCGCCCGGCTTTCCTGATTATTAATAAGGTCAAGCATTTCTCTCATATTCATGAGCCACCCATATTCTTCACTAGATACACGTGACTTTTACTCATTAGAATTTTTTCTTTCTTACTTATTTGCAGTAGTATTTTTTTAAAAAAATAGATATTCTAGATAGTATTTCCCTCTTAGTTATTGTGTTACAAAGATCTCTCCTATTTTGTGGGTTATTTTTTCACTGTCTTTATGGTACCTTTCGTCTTTTGATGAAAAATTTTTTATTTTAATATAGTTGAATTCATAAATCTTTCTTTCTTTCATGATTTCTCCTGTTTCTACCTTTTGTTTTGCTTTGTTTTAACTGAGACAGGGTCTCACTCTGTCACCCAGGCTGGAGTGTCCAACTCTTGGTCTCAAGCGATCCTCCCTCCTGTCTCAGTTTCCCCAAGTGCTAGAACCAAAGGTATGAGCCACTGGGCCCCAGGCTCTATTTTATTTAAGAAAACTTCCCTACTTCTAGGTCATGAATATTCTCTTATAAATTGCCTTCCATATTGAAGTCATCAAGCTGTCTGATTTTTTACTGGGTGAAATTTCATTTTTCTCACATTGATAATTATGGGGTCTCAGGAAGTTTTGTTAAATACCATCATTTCCTCAATGATGGACAATGGCAGCTCTGCCCCTTCAATCAAATATTTGTAAGTGGCTTTTGTAAGTCTGGTCTGAGCTCCCTCCTGGCTTTGTTGGTCAATCTATCTGTCCAACACCACAGAGTCTTAATTATGACAGCTTTATAAAGTCATTTCCAAAGCCAGTCACTTCCTCTTCTCCTTCACACATATCTTGGCTATTCCTGAACTTTCTGTTCTCTATAAA